CGTTCAGGATAAGAGAGTTATTCTTGAACCAATCTTTAACCTCACGCATGCATTCACGAAAATAATTAAAAGACATTAAGGTCGTCTGTAATCTCAAAGTAAACCTGTATATCATCAACATAGCAATGAAAGCGAGAAGTTGCCCAAATTAACCGAGAATGACCAGTCAGCGAGATAAGATTTTAACCAGTTGAGGGCAGTGCCTCTAATACCCTACAGTATGCTCAAGTCTTAATAGAAGAATGTTATGATTGACCATATCAAAAGCCGAGGAAAGGTCCAATAAAACCAGGACCGCAGGGTGTCCAGAATCAGTGCTTACAAGAAGGTCATTGAGAACTCTAAGCAAGGCCGTTTCAGTGCTGTGCCGTGGCTTAAAGGCAGACTGACATTTCTCTCCAATGTTGTTCGCGTCTAAATACGCCTGAAGCTAAGAAAGAACTAGTCGCTCCAGGATCTTGGACAGAAACGGAAGCTTAGAGATCGGTCTATAGTTCAAGAGATCATAACAATCAAGATTATTTTTTTTCCCAGAATAGGCTGGACTACAGCAGCTTAAAGGCCAGTGGGACAGATCCAGAGAGCATAACCATCAACTGAACAGAGAGAACAGTAGCTAGGTACAGCCAAATTCAGGGGTAGATGAAAATAATGATAACAAAATATCAGCATAACCATCAGATGAGCAAACTGAGCAGCAGTCAGGAATCATAAACGCCAAATCTAAAAAAGACACAGCAAACTTTGACACAGCTTCAGAGCTGAGTACGCGTAGCGGACGAGAAAGAGCTCCAGACTGCGGTCCAGCAGCAGATAAGCCAATATCAAAGGAAATTGGGAAATGATCTGAAATCCCAGCGTCATTTATATCCTTAATACAGATATCCAGGCCATACGTAAAGACCAAGTCCAAAATATGGCCTTTAACGTGGGTTGGTGTATTTACCCACTGAAGGAGGTTAAAAGAGTCAGTTAAAGCAAGGAAGTCTTTAGCAAGCAGGTCATGCTTGCAACAGATGTGTATGTTAAAATCAGTAAGAATGGTGTCATATTTAAAAAGAACGGAACCCAGGAAGTCGGTAAAGTCCAAGATAAAACACTTGTTATATTTGGGCGGTTGATAGACCAACACTCACAAAGTGGTCGTGGAAGCAGTCATCTCCAATAACTGAACTTCAAAACTAGCAAAGTTAGGTGAGGAAAGTTGCCGAACATTATGTACGTTTTTAAAAACTGAGGCTAAACCACCTCCCCTACCAGAAAGCCTCGGTGAACTAAAATAGGCACAGTCCAAAGGAAGAAGTTCAGAGAAAGGGATGAGCTCACCAGGGCGAATCCAGGTTTCCGAAAGGAATAAAATATTAAGGTTGCTAGTAGAGAAGAAGTAATTTAAAACAAAGGTGTTATTTACCAGCGACCTGAGATTAAGCAGTGCCATCTGTGGCCAGGATACTAAGTCACCTCTAGAAGCTCGGCGTGGAAGTGCTTAGATTACTTCGACAAACTCTCCGTCAGCCCGACATTATCCAAATCCGAGCAGGAAAACGTGTCGCAGAACGGGCAGAGGAGGCTTGATGATCAACCGGGTAAATCCAGCGCTAAGTAGGCAACTTGGCGTCAGAGCATACCAGGGAGGAGGGAAAAAAAAAGAATGGAGTGTCCAGGCTAGCATGTACATGGTCCGTAATTCTGGCCCTGAGACAGACGTGACGGACACTTCTTCTTTCTCACTTCTTATAGCGTTTCTTGTGGAGATTAGGGAGGGGTAGGTAGGAGAAGCCGAAGGACGAATCCAGTTGTGGTAGATTAGTGCTGCCCACACTCCAGCAGTGGTCGGACCGAAACGAATGGTAAGAATGAAGATTTAAAA